CGGGTTGCTGATGCCCCGCAACGCGGCACTCGCCGCCCAGCCCGTGCAGGGCCCAGGAGGCCGAACTTCAACAGACCCATAAATAGATCCTTAAAAACTTCTTCAAAGCCATGGCGGGGACGGAAATTCTACCCGCAGTTGCCATCAGCCTGCGCAGGCAGGCGAGGAGGAGCGGGGGCCATGGCTGTGCGGCACAACCCCCCCTCTGCTTCCCTCCCCGCAGGACCTGCTTGCACTGGGCCTGTAAGCGGAACCAGGCGCAGGTGGTGGCCTGCCTGCTGGATGCCGGGGCCGATAAACAGCTCCTCACCGCCGAAGGAGAGCTGGCCGCACAGTTAACTTCGAAACCGTGCATCCGGAAGATTTTGGGAGGTACCGTTCCCCTCTTAAAAGTCACCTGCAATTCTTGGTCTAGAGACGAAAGCATTTTTAGTGCCAGAACTTTGGCTAGGACTCCCTGGATAGCTCTGGTTTGTAACTGTACTTCATACTCGGGCAAACAGCTGTGGGGATTTCGGGTAGGAAGGGCTTTTACTCCGAGCTGCGAGAGCCTGAAGAGCCGTGTATCGAGGAGACGTGCTGCGGCAGTCTGTTTGCTCGCTCAGCAGAAGCTGCGTGCAGGCTGCAGACAGGCCTTCAGCCCTTGTAAGGGGTGACTGTTGTCTGGTCCTACGAAACCTTACAAATCCACCCAACACAACTGCAGTGTGAAGTTCCAGCGTCTGAGCATTTTGTTACACTGTGACTTGCAGTATGGGTAATTGCTGCCCCGTAATTCTGCCATCTTACACTTTTCACATACACAGCAAGCCTAGTTAGATATGTGTGATGGAACTAGATGATCTTTAAGGTCCCTTCCAACCCAAACCATTCTGTGATTCTCTGTGATGCCATAACACAGCCAGAGCCCATGTCCATCAGTGTCTAGGTACTGTGCTCTGGATTAAAATTTTAAAGTGCTTCACCTTTGGAAGTGCTGATGTTCTATCTTCTGCTAATTGCACTTAAATTGCTCTCTGCAATGATCTGTGCTTACATCAACAGTGTGTGTTTATCCTCAGTGGAGTTGTAGCTACTCATAGAATCACAGAAGGGTTTGGGTTGGAAGGGACCTTAAAGATCATCTAGTTCCAACCCCCCTGCCATGGGCAGGGACACCTTCCACTAGACCAGGTTGCTCCAAGCCTCATCCAGCCTGGCCTTGGACACTTCCAGGGATGGGGCATCCACAGCTTCTCTGGGCAACCTGTCCCAGTGCCTCACCACCCTCTCCGTGAAGAATTTCTTCCTGATACCCAACCTAATCATATCTAAGGTGATGATTTAGGTCACAGCTGAAGGAATGGCATGTTCTTTGCGTGGGCATTTTTGGGTGCTTTGGGCCGAGGTGCTCATCTCTTGGACTTGTTCGTGGCTGATGGCTTGCGTCCTGGTTTTAACATTAAATCGTCAAGCGTCCGTGAATGAACTCTCTGCAGGTTGCCTTATTTTTCTGTTAAGCTTTTATGTGTCTTCTGGGGGATGAACAGGTATCACTGATATTCTCCTAAATGGTTTTTATTGTGGGAGTGTAGTGCTGTTGAGCCGATCTTCCTGAACTGCTCTGAGATTAGTCTCAGTGTCCTGTAACTCTCAGCCAGGCAAGGATGTCGATTACTGCAGTGCTTTGAAGCAAGAGACGAGTTGGCTCGGGCATGACCGCAAATACTCACTTACCTGCAGAAACACGGGGTGTAATTTGCTGGCATGGCTCACGTAACTTAGAGCAGCCTTACTGAAAACGTTGAGAAATGAGATTGAGCCAACGACTGCGCAGCCCGTTCCTTTGAAAACACTGGAGTAACACTGCTAGAAGTGACATGGACCTTAACAGTTACTGTTTTCCGCCCACTTTGCTTTTAAAAAACACAACACAGCGTGGAAATTCGTAGATTTTTCTCTCATTGTATAACTACTTGTGTTCTGGGTATGACACACTTACGGGAAATGAGCATCACCCTTTGATTACCTCAGTGTGATGTAGTTTTAAGACGTAATAGGAAAACTAACAGTATCTATCCAATAACATGGGTTTTTCTCTCTCTCCATCCCCTACCCCCTGTTTTTGAACTCCATTAATAGAGGAAGAAACCGAGTGTCAAGGAGTGAAGGATTTGAACTTGCCCGTTGTCGCAAACTGCCTGGCCAGCCCACCATTCCCTTACGGTTATGGGGAAGAAAGCGTTCCAGACAGCTTGGCAGAATCCCAGCATGAAAGTGCTTCCATCTCGTCTTCCCAGTGTGAAACTAGTCCTCGTTCCTCAGCAGCTCAGGGCGAAAGCACACACACCCCCACATCGGGCAACAGCGAGGACGACCTTCCTGCACTAGAGGCCACAGAGCT